GTGTGGAAGGAGGCTTCATTTCTATGTCCCATTGCCAGAGCAGGAGCCTGGGCAGACTTTTGGGCTAGGGCCTACCTCTGAGGCTAAATGCAGAAAAAGCCACATTTACTGTGCCATTTCTGCATAAAGATGCAGAAACGAAATGAATTTCCCTGGGAACAGACCATTTGGGAGTAAATCCAATTTGTCAGAGGCCAGGCTGAATAGACTGGTGGTGCAAGGATTCTTACTTTATCAGACAGGCAAATGGCTATTCAACCTTCCATCCTGAACTTAATAACCCCCTAGCTTACCACCCCATTTTGCTATTTTCTGTATGTCTCATACCTTTTTGTGTCTCTTATTTCTTCTAGTTATGCTTTCTTGGGTGTTTAGCAGATTTTTTTTCTTTTTCTTTTCTTTTTTTTTTTTTTTTGAGACAGAGCCTCAAGCTGCTGTCACCCTGGGTAGAGTGCTGTGACATCACAGCTCACAGCAACCTCCAACTCCTGGGCTCAAGCGAGTCTCCTGCCTCAGCCTCCCAAGTAGCTGGGACCACGGGTGCCCGTCACAACGCCCGGCTATTTTTTGGTTGCAGCCGTCATTGTTGTTTGGCGGATCTGGGCTGGATTCGAATCTGCCACCTTAGGTGTATGTGGCTGGCGCCTTAGCTGCTTGAGCCCCAGGCACTGAGCCGTAGATTTTTTTTCTAGTGAAATGTTTTGATTTTCCTTATTTATTTATTTATTTTTGAGACAGAATCTTACTCTGTAACCCAGGGTGGGGTACCATGGCATCAGCCTCACTTAATAACAACCTCAGGCTCTTGGATTCACTTGATACTCCTGCCTCAGCCTCCCCAGTGAAGGAGGCTTTAATAGAGACAGAGTGCTAACTTCTAACTTTAATAGAGACAGAGTGCTAGGATTATAGGCATGAGCCACTGTGCCTGGCCCAATTCTCATTTCTTTTTATGTGTATTATTATTATTATTATTATTTTTTTTTTGCAGTTTTTGGCCAGGGCTGGGTTTGAACCCACCACCCCTGGTATATGGGGCTGGCGCCTTATTTGAGCCACAGGCACCGCCCTATGTGTATTTTTTTGATATATCCTTTGTGATTGCAGTGGGGATTACATTTAGCATCCTAAAGTTATCACAATGTATTTTGAATTGATATCTTCAAACACATACACAAATCTGTTTTTCTTTTTAAATATAGGTTTTATTATTATTCTAGTCTGATGAGACCAATGGATCAGCTGACAATTGTTGGAAAGATAGTTTGTTACTCACAGTTCCCAACAGAAGAGAGCATGATGAAGCACCATGGTTGCTCAGAGGGCAGAGGGAATAGGAAAAAAAATGTGGACAAGAGTATTTAGTATGTGTTTTTCAGGAAAGAACAGGCAAAACAAGGTAAGCAGGCTAAGTAGGATTGGCTGGTTTATGTAATTTCAGTGGGCTTCAGGGTGGAGGGCATGTCCCTAGTTGTCTGATTCTTGGTTCTGTATAAATTAGGGCAGAGGGATAGTAGCTAAGAGTATAAGAGCCCACCAAAGAAGATGATTGAGGGGTATGGAATTTCATTGCACATGAAAGGTGAGCTCTGAATGTGAGTCATCATTTACTGTCTGAAGGAACTGACTTTCAGTGGGGCATCTCTCTGGGGTCTGCAAGGTACCAGATGGCAAAACATCAGAAACACGTGGTTAATACATTCCTCTGCAATTCCACCTTCCATTCTTTATGTGATTGTTGTTACAGATTATATCTTTATACATTTTACAATTATATCAATTTTATAATTAATGATTATACAATTAACCATTTTATAATTATACAAGTTATATGAAGTACAATGCATAATAATGTATACTTTACATGTTATACATAATAAATCTATATAGAGCAATTTAAAATAGTTTTTTAACAATTTTTTCTTTAAGTCCTGTAGGAAATAAATAATGGAGTTACAAACTAAAAATACAATAATACTTGCCTGTTTAACACTTTTACTTGTACAATGGTATGAATGTTTGTGTCCCCTCAAAAATCCATATGTTGAAATTCTAACCAGAACTCTCATGTGTGGGATTAATGTCCTCATAAGTAGGCCCCAGGGAGCCCATTTGGCTCTTCCACCTTCTGAGGATGCAAGATGGAAATGGACTCTCACCAGATACTGAATCTGCCGGTACTTTGGCCTTGGATTTTCTAATCTTTAGAACTGTGAGAAACAAATTTCTGTTGTTTATAAGTTGCCAAGTTTATGGTATTTTGTTGTAGCAGACCAAATAGACTAAGATAACTCAAGATCTTTATTTTTTAATATAGCTTTGACTTACTGTCTGGTGTTTTTTCATTTCAACTACTATAGTAGTTCATCATTGTAGATCTATTATAACAAACTCTCTCAGTTTTGTTTATCTGGGAGCATCTACCAGCCACATACACCTAAGGAGGTGGGTTTGAATCCAGCCCGGTCTGCCAAACAATAATGACGGCTGCAACCAAAAAATAACTGGGCATTGTGGCAGGCGCCTGTGGTCCCAGCTACTTGGGAGGTGGAGGTAGGAGACTTGCTTAAGCCCAGGAGTTGGAGGTTGCTGTGAGCTGTGATGCCATGGCACTCTACCCAGGGGGACAGCTTGAGGCTCTGTCTCAAAAAAAAAGAACAGTTTTGCCAGATGTTGAATTCTTTTTTTTTTTTTTTAACAGTTTAATGTATTTTAATAGCAAACTTACAACACAGCACAGAAGACAGCATTAAAAACATGTACTTGCATGAAGGACAACTCAGAAAAGTATAGTGAATGGATGGAATCTACTGTATGATAAAAATGCTACAAACACCATTTAGTTGCCTTCAATAAGAAATTTACTTGTTTTAAAAAAATCCAAATGCTGGCATTGTCCAGAAAAATTTAACAGGTTTATTTATAATTGTTATAAAGTTGAACTGCTGAAACTTGTTCACTGAAACATTTTGACACGCTTTAATGCTGCCCATCCCCGCATTTTATATTAAAAATTCACACAAAAATGAAAATGGAAAAACTGCCAATACCTGATTTCTGTCCCCTATTTTTCCAGTCGCAATCATATACTTAAGCATTTTTTGACCCCATGGGGGGGGGGGAAATCTAAAGTTCAGAATTACCAATAACAGGAAGAAGAGAATTTTTTTTTTTTTTTGATAATGAAATGTTTTCCCATCATAGCAGACTCTTAAGCACGTTCTCCATGTATACCGTGTGCTAGGTGGATGTCTTTTGGCATAATTACACGTTTGGCCTGGATAGCACACAGGTTGGTATCTTCAAAAAGGCCAACCAGATAGGCCTCACTTGCCTCCTGCAAAGCACCAATAACTGCGCTTTGGAAGCACAGATCTGTCTTAAAGTCCTGAACAGTTTCTTGCACCAGACGCTGGAAAGGAAGTTTACCAATCAGAAGTTCAGTGGACTTCTGATAACGTCTTATTTCACGGAGTGTCACAGTACTGCGCCTGTAGCGATGAGGTTTCTTCACCCCTCCAGTAGAGGGCGCACTCTTGCCAGCAGCTTTTGTAGCCAGTTGCTTCCTGGGTGCTTTACCACCGGTGGATTTGCGGGCAGGCTGCTGTGTACGAGTCATGGTATAAAGACCTCCTTACTTACCTCCTTTTTCGGCTGGAGCTTGGTGAGCTAGAGGCAGCGCTGGTGTTAGACAGCGACGTCAGCTGCGAACACTGAATTCTTTTTTTTTTTTTTAAATTAAATTATAGCTGTGTACATTAATGCAATCATGGGGTACAATGTGCTGGTTTTATATACAATTTGAAATATTTTCACCAAACTGGTTAATGTAGCCTTCACGGCATTTTCTTAGTTATTGTGTTAAGACATTTATATTCTACACCTAGTAAATTTCACATGTATCCTTGTAAGATGCAGAGATGTTGAATTCTTATTCAGGATCTTTTCTTTCAGCTCTGTAACTATATCATGCCAGGGAGGTCTTTTGGCCTTCTTGGTTTTGGGAAATTGGCCATTAGTAGTTTTCAAGATCCCTTTTATGTGGGAGTCACATCTTTCTTGTTTTCTTCAAGAATCTCTCCTTTGTCTTTGGGTCTCAAAAGTTTGAGCATAAGAAGTCTTAGTGTGGGGCTCTGTAAGGCTATCCTATTAGATCTAAAGTTTTTTTGTGTTCTTGGATTTGTAGGTTCATGTATTTCATCAAATTGAGAAAATTTTCAGCCATTGTTTCTCCAAATATTGTTTCTTTTTTCTTATTTATTCTTAATTTTTATGGATACCTAATAGTTACCACTTCAAGGATTTTATCCTGTAGAAGCAAGACTACTGGTGGCAATCTATGTATAAATATAATCATGGCAACACTATTTGTGGTCACAAAAGATACTTTACCTGATATACATCTGAAGGGGGAATTGTTAAGGAAATCAAACATATCTAATATAAATTATTATGCAGAAACTAAAATAAATATATTTGATCTACATTAGTTAAGCTCAGTGATGTTCACCATGTACTAGAAAGAGAGAGAGTAAATTGCAAAATAATATAGCATTTGAGTACACTCTTTAAAACAAAGCAAAGACAACAAAACCCCAAAAGGACATTTAATTAAAAACAAGTCACAGAACCCAGAAGCCACAAGAAAAAAATGAAACAATTTGACTAAATAAAAATTAAAGCTCTGTACAATAAAAAACAGCATAAACAAATTTAAAAGATAAGTCATAAACTTTAAGAAAAAATATTTCATGTAAGGTATGTGATGTACCAAATCATAACCGAATCATCATGTTGTAACCCTTAAATATATAGTGTTTATTTGTTAAAGCAAATAAATTTTTTTCAGTAATGCTCAAAAAAAAAAAAAGAATTTAGAACTATTTGGTTTAGTTTATACACATATGGGGCTGCTTCACTAATTTTATAAATTATTAGCTCTTCCACTTTCTTTATTGACACAAAGGAAAACAAAAGCAAAAGATCAAATCAGTCGTCACTTCACTAGATAATAGCACTGGTTGCTCATCTCCCCCTTTTGCAACACTACAAAATGTAAACTGAAAATTAATAATATTACTTTTTGCTTCATTGTTAATAATTCTTAATTATTCTAGTGCCTCAAAGAGTTCAGGCAAAATAGGCGTAAACAAAGACAACCACAGCCAGGAGGAGGATGGCGTTGATGTTTACCACAGTCCTCCAGAAGGGCCTCTCAGACGTGTCGGTCAGCTTCTTCCTAAGGGCCTCTTCCTCCTCCTTGGTCAGCTTGGGTCCCGTCTCCTGCAAACCGCAGAATAAGTCCCAAGTCTTCCTGAGACATCCACGAGATTGTTCAGAATAATCTGAAACAAAGATAAACAAATGACCACCAAATTTGGGAACTGGAAATCCTTGTCAGTGTAGGGCTATAAGCAATGACTGCAATCACTGGTAAGCATTGGATAAAACCCTGAGGAAATGTAGATCAATTGGATATATGAAATTAAAAACTTTTGCATGGTGTAAAGTTCAATGAACGAAGTAATAATAAGTGACTAAATGGGGGAAACACTTGTATATTATATCACAAAGGATTTAATATCTTTTTTTTGAGATAGTGTCTTACTATGTCACCCTCGGTAGAGTGCTCACAGCAACCTCAAATTCTTGGGCTTAAGCAATTCTCTTGCCTCAGCCTCCCAAGTAGCTGGGACTAAAGGTGCCCACCACAACATCTGGCTATTTTTATTTTTGTTGTAGTTGTCATTATTGTTTGGCAGGCCTGGGCCAGGTTTGAACCTGCTAGCCCAGGTGTATGTGACTGGAACCCTAGTCGCTGAGCTACAGGTGCCAAGCCTAATATCTTTAATATATAATTAAATAAAGTATATATATAGAAAAGACCTTCAATAGCCCCATGTGAACAAAAGAGAGGAAGAAAAAGAAAAAATACAAATCACTTTAGACTCACCCAAAAAGAGAAATTTAAACTAAAACTATACTGAGGTAGTATTTTCCATCTATCAGTGCCAAAAAGTCAAAAGTGTCTCAATGTGCTATGTAAGGGAGTCTGTGTGGAAACAGGCAGTTTCACACCTTGCCAGGAAAGCTTGACTCAGCTCTTATGGAGGGATATTTGGTGGTACATAGCAAAATTGCGTAGGCATTAATTCTTTGATCCAACAATCAAATTTCTCAAAATCTATCCCAAAGGTTTATTGGCAAAAATACAAAAAGATTTATATATAAGGCTATTCATTGCAAACCTGGAAAATTTAAAGCATACTTCTCACTCAAATGAAAAATTGTACTGGAGGCTATACTTAGAAATAAAAGATAATGAAAATTATATAAATTAAAATCGGTGAGATACAGCAAAAATTTTATGTTGAGGGAAATGTATGGCTTTAGTTATTGGCATTAGAAAAGAAGAAATTGGCTCGGTGCCTGTGGCTCAAGTGGCTAAGGCTCCAGCCACATACACCTAAGGTGGCAGGTTCGAATCCAGCCTGGGCCCACCAAACAACAATGACGGCTGCAACCAAAAAAATAGCCAGGCGTTATGGCAGGTGCCTGTGGTCCCAGCTACTTGGGAGGCGGAGGCAGGAGACTCGCTTGAGCCCAGGAGTTGGAGGTTGCTGTGAGCTGTGATGTCACAGCACTCTACCCAGGGTGACAACTTGAGGCTCTGTCTCAAAAAAAAAAAAAAAGAAAAGAAGAAATCAAATTTCCAGATTTACTAGAAATCAGTGAAGTGATACCCAGCTTACCTTGGGGGAGGGGGGAGGGAACTCACAACAGAATAAACCCAAATAATGTAAATGAAAGGGAATAGAAATGAAAATAGAAAGTATTAGCAATAAAGCCAAAAGTTGGTTCTTTGAGAAAAGTAAGCTAGATAAGTCTCAGCAAGACTTTTTAAAAAAAAAGAGAAATCACATTATATTAGAAATTAGAAGGAAAATATAACTATAGAGGCAGCAGAGATGGGTAAGTAGATATCATGAATAGCTTTATGCCAATATGTTTACAATGTGCACTAAAGGGACAAGATACTAGAAATACAGAAATTAAAAAACCGATTAAAGGAGAAATGGACACTCTAAATAGCTCTATAGCCATTATGTAAATGTGATAATTAGTTAAGAAATGTCCTCACCCCCACCTCATAGCTCTAATGGTATTATTATTGGCAAAATACGAAAATAGTATTCAGATGCTATTTCAGTCTTATTGAAATTTCCATAAGATGAAAAAATGGGCCCAATTCTGATTTATCCTATAACATTATGATCTTAATATGAAAACTAGACAAAGATTAAGTACAAAAGAAAAAAAAAGAAAATACTAGGCCAGTTGTACTCAGGAGCACTGATATAAAAACGTCAGAAGTAGGAAGTCTTGACTCCTCCTTCAAACTTCACTTTGGTTTTGAAGAACCAAAGTGAAAACAAGGAAAGCAGTTAGTGTGCAGTCCTGAAGTGTGGAACGTTGTCGATGGTTTAAAAAAATGAGGTAAACAAAGAGTCTTGGGGAGGGATACTGGAGAAATTTTCATGAAGGAAGTGAGATCAGAACTTAGTTTTTAAAGAAGGAGCTTGCTGTGCGTGAGGAAAAGTGAAGAAACTTCCCTGCCTGGAATAGAGGGTATATCAGAGAGAACAGAGAGAAATAAGACTGGAGAGAAGGTGCAGCTAGATGTTTAATCATAGTTGATCAAGATGGAACACTTAATGTGTAATGAGGAACTGTAACTGATTGACGTCTCAGTGACTAGGGATGGATGGTGGGTGCACAGACAGACTGGCAGACAGGCGGATGACTAGGTGGATTTCGTATGTCCTCTGTGGTTGTCCCAAAGGTAGGATTTTCAAGTTTCAGTTTGCTGTAAACCTAACAGCTCTTTCAGATGCCGAATATAGTGGCATTAGAAGAAAACCACCAAGCCCAGCCATCCACACAGAGCTCCTACGTGGAACCTGAGGGTAAGCCAGGTATTACCTTCTTCAGCACCATCCTCAGTTTCCTCCTGCTTTTTCTCATCTGCATCTAAATCGATTCGTTCCTCTGTACTGTCCCGAAGAGCCCAGCACAGGCGATACAGCTGAACAGACCATACACAGGTACATAAGTGGGGGCGGGGGGGGGGCGCAAATGTTTGCAGTATTATAATGGTACCTTTTATTATCACATGGTTAAAAAAAATCAAACTTCACAAGAGAGGATAAATCTCAAAGGTTCCCTACTCCACTCATGCACCAAAAACACACTGCTATCCATTTTAAATTATTTCTGCTTTTAATTCTGCTGTTACTCAGAACTCTGAATAATTTGCATAAAACTTCTGAATTTTTAATTTCAGAGATGTTAAAGATTTAGCTAAGCTACACGGTACCCTGGCTTCACTCATTTTCGTTATCATCCAACTGTTATTATTTCTTTCAGTTTGTCTGGCGGTTACTTTCATAACTTATTTAAAATATCTTTTTTTCTTTTCTTCTCATGCTTTTATCTTGTCACTAAGAACCCTAAGCATAGCTTCATAAGCTGTTATTCAGAGCATTTTTGTTTTTGAGACAGAGCCTCAAGCTATTGCCCTGGGTAGAGTGCTGTGATGTCACAGCTTATAGCAACCTCAAACTCCTGGATGTAAGAGATTCTCTTGCTTCAGCCTCCCGAGTAGCTGGGACTACAGGCACCTGCCACACTGCCTGGCTATTTTTTGGTTGTAGTTGTCATTGTTTGGCAGGCCCAGGCTGGATTCCAACCCACCAGCTCTGGTATATGTGGCTGGTGCCTTAGCCACTTGAGCCACAGGCTCTAAGCCCAGAGCTTTTTTTTTTTTTTTTTTTTTTTTTTCCATGAGGTCCTGGGTTTTCCTTTGATGGAAGACTATTCTTTCTTTCTTTTTTTTTTTTTTTTAAAATTTTTTTTTTTTATTAAGTCATTTATACATGGATCAAAATACATTTATGCCATTATGGGATTCAATGTGTTGATTATTTGTACAAACAGGAGTGCTTACATCCTACTAATCAACACAGCCTTCACCTCATTTACCAGAGCATTTCTTATGTAAAATCCACTTTCTTTGTTAAAACTTTTTTTCTTGGGGATCCTTGAATTCCTGTTTAACTTGGACTAAATAGTTCTAGTCTTGTTGAACAACTATCCTCCTGGGATACCTCTTTTCTGTGCTGCTAGGGGAGGTCCACAGCACCTTGGATTACCTTCTCTGTTATCTGTCCCTTTTGAAAGTTCAAACTTCAGAGTGTGTCAATAAACATAAACATAAATTACAGAAATAGTCTCACTGATCCTTCAGATAAAATCTTTTTTCTAAAAATTAATAATATATTACAGTTATTTCTTTTGGCAAAAATGAGTTTTAGTTCATTTATTTGCAAACTATGATGTTTTCTAGTGTTCTTTCATTTAATTCTCAATATTCAGCATAAATATCCAGCTATAAATTCTGCTGACAGGTCTTTGGTAAAGGAATTTGAACTGCCCTGTGCTTTGGGTCTGTCATCTACACATAATCTATTGGACACCCCTCAAGGAAATATGTAAGTAAGTATTGCTGCAAAGAGTGTAAGTGATAAATGCAAAAGACACAAAAGTGATACATGTTAGTAATAAATTTGAAAAATGTCAAAGAAGTATTTTTATATTTTAAACGTGATTGATATTTTCTGGGCCTCTGTATTGTCTGCCATTCCCAGAGATATCTCTTGCTGAAAATTTCAGGTGTGACTGCTTTAAGATTTTTCTTCCTGGCTTAGATAAACGTGCATATGCTTACATGTATTTTATTTCAGAAAGTGCTATTACATGGTGCTATGTAATTCTGTACTTTTTTTCCACTTAACTATAGTATGGACATTTTTCAAAGAAAAGAACACAGCACTCTCATGTTTCTAAATAGTGCATAATATTCAATGTTCAATTATTGTGTACCCACTCCCTTTGTGATGGAAACTTGGATTGTCCCCATTTTTGTTTCTTTGTTTCTTTTTTTGGGGGGGGACAGCATCTCACTATGTCACCCTTGGTAGAGTGCTGTGGCATCACAGCTCACAGTAACCTCAAACTCTTGGGCTTAAGTGATTCTCTTGCCTCAGCCTCCCAAGTAGCTGGGACTATAGGCACCTGCCACAACAACTGGCTATTTTTTTGTTATTGTCATTGTTATTTATCAGGCCCAAGCTGGGTTTAAACCCACCAGTCCTGGTGCATGTGGCCGGCACCTTAACTACTGAGCTATGGGTGCTGAGCCCCCATTTTTGTTTCTATTTGGAAACTTTTGCTGAGAAGATCCTTATACATATGTTTTTCCTACTGTATGTATATTTCTATCTAATAAACTCCTCAAAGTGGATTGTTGACTCATGAGGTATAAGAATTAAAAAATTGATGCATACTGGACAATTGCCCTCTTATGAGTTATAAGATTTATATATTTACCAACAGTTCTGGACTGTGGGCCTTTCCTCAAATCATCACCAACACTAGGCATTATTCATATTAAACATTTTTTTTCCAACTTGAAAGGCAAAAATAATCTAATTATCTGTCATCTCCTTTCCTTCCCCCTGGTACCACGTGCTTTTTAATTTTTTTCTAATCTCTGTGTTCATGTTCACTGTTCACATTCATATCCATGCTCATTCTGTGTATGAAATCCAACTGGCCCCACACAGGCCCCGAGCATGCGTGGCCCAGATGATAGCTCTGCTGTGAAGTCTTTCCCAGTCTCTTAGGCAACACTGATCATTCTCTTCCTGGTATCCAGTAACAATCGTATAGATTTATCCCACAATTGCATTGTGACATTTATAAAGTTTGATGCCCATTTCCCAATCTTTTACTTTTTTCTTTCATTGTGCAAAGAATGCTGTATTTTTTTAAAACCTTATTGCTGGTGAGAGGGGGTATTTTATACACCTTATCATGAACATCTCACCAATCCCTTACTTCTTAATTCACTGGTGCTTTGCACACACTAGGTACAAATTTTTGTTTACTTGAATGACTGGATGATGATTTCTTGGGTTTATTATAGTTCTGGAGGCACAGTGATTACAGTGCCTGGGACTCATACACTGGCAGCAGCTTTAGAAGGCAGAGGACCCTTATTTTAAAATAAGCAAATATCATTGCTCATCTACTCACATGGACTTCAGGAATGGGTTTTGTTAAGAGGGAAATTCCCAGGACGGCTAGTGTGGTGCCACAGAAGAGAATGATGGCAAAGTACAGATAGTGCACTCCACAGATAATCTTGGGACAGTCACTGGCAGCCAGGCAGCTTCCTGTTCCAAAGGCGAACTCTGCAATCATTCGAATGAGGCCCATCACAAGTCCAATGATTAGACCCCAGAATGCTCCCTGCACAGAAATAAAAACAAAATCAAAGTGTTTAGAAATGATGATAAGCTCATTCTAGTAAGCCATAATTATCATCTTGCCTGCTTTCTTAATTAACAGCCACAAACCAATGCTGGGGGTGGGGTGATCAGGACATGCCAAAGCAAACTGATCCTGATTCCTCCACTGTTATAAGGGGCTGTTTTAAGGACCGAGAGACGGCTTCCCTTGAGCACAAAGTCACCAAAGCAGAGGAAGTTGCTAACGTGTATATGGGCGGTTGTGTTGCTCTCTGTGGTCCTGAAATACCATTGCACTGTTGATCCGCAAATTCCAGGACACTACTGTCTACGTTGGTCCAAGCTGAAGTTTTCCTTGACTTTTATTTATTTATTTTTGAGATAGAGTCTCATTATGTCACCCTTGGTAGAGTGCCACGGCATCACAGCTCACAGCAACCTCCTACTCTTGGGCTTAAGTGATTGTCATGCCTCAGCCTCCCAAGCAGCTGGGACTACAGGCTCTTGCCACAATGCCTGGCTATTTTTTGTTGTTGTTGTTGCAGTTTTCATTGTTGTTTAGCAGACCTGGGCCAGGTTTGAACCATTATGCCTCTGTGCATGTGGCTGGCAGCCCAACTGCAGAGCTATGGGCGCTGAGCCCCTTGACTTTTACTTTATATGGTTTAAAACTTTTATGGTTTATTTCATAGAATAAACAGGACTCTGAATTATGTCATACAATTTTCAGAGTGGATATTAGATAGTTTTGAGAGTTCTATTAAACTCTTGACAATTGAAATTATTTATTTTCTCTGGGAGGTTAATGGTGTTATGTTTTAGGAAAACCGTCTTTCGTGAAGATTTAATGGTATAAGCTTTGGATGGTTGAAGACCTGAGTCTGAATCCTAGGACTCACTTACTAATTTTAGTAGAACCTCTGTAAGTTGGTCACACAGGGACTGTAACATACTGGTCAATGTAAGGAGGTGTCAACATAAGGAAGTAGGCCTGCTAGTTCCTGTGGCACTTGTATGGTTTATGAAAATTAGGTTAACTTAAGGAGATGGTCAACCAGGGAGGTTCTACTGTATTAACTAACACATGAAAAGCACATAGATATTAACCTCCCTGCATAGATTCCTTATCTGAAAATCATCATAATAAGGCTAGTACCTAGGAACAATAAGGGAGTCAGTGTAGTCAGTCAGTCAGTCCACTGTAATCAATCAATCTCTCTATATATCATAACAACACTAAACACATTTTGAGCCCTCAGTAGTGTGGTAGATTTTCTTCTAGGCATTTCACATATTAAAGAAGTTTTTTTTTTTTTTTTTTTTGAGACAAGGTCTCACTCTGTTACCCAGGCTGGAGTGCAGTGTGTGATCATAGCTCATTTTTTCAGAACTCTTGAAAAAAAATTTTAAACAATTAACCAGGAGTGGTGGTGCACACCTGTGGTCCCAGCTTCTCAGAAGGCTGAGGTGGGAGGATCCCTTGAGCCCAGGAGTTTAAGATTACAATGAGCTATGGAGGGTAAATGGTGGGACCATTCCAACGGTTCATATTACAAGGGTACATGTCAATTCTATTAAGTATAGAGTATAAATGTCTTGGCACAATAATTAAGTGAGGTGAAGGCTATATCAACTAGTTAGATGTAAGCACTTCAAATTGTATATAAAATCAGCACATTGTACTCCATAAAGGCATTAATGTATACATGATCTATGTGTTTATGACTTAATAAAAAAATTTTTTTTTTAGTTCTCATAGAGACAGGGTGTCATTATGCCCAGGCTGGTTACAAACTCCTGGCCTCCAGTGATCCTTCTGCTTTGAGCTTCCAAAGTGCTGGAATTATAGGTGTGGATCACTGCACCCAGGCACTTTTCACATATTTTATCTCATTTAATCCTCACAGCAATCACATAGGGGAAATTCTATCATTACCTTCATTTCACAGACAGTCAAGTGATTTGTGTAAGATCACAGGGATAGACATGACTCGGCTCTGGCAATCTGTCTCCCAAACTTGTGCTCCTCAACACTGTACCATGTGTGCACACGATAGTTTGTAAGAAATAAAAGACTCTACTATGAATACGCATTATTATTCTTGTTCTTTAGTAAGCATTAGGAATTGTGACTGACCTCAACTGAAAGTGAGATGGACCATGATTTGTATAAATAGAGTAGAAAGAATGAATACTGATACCCCCATGAAGACATTTTTTCTCACTCCAGCATGGAAAATGCTTTCCAGTTTTCACTTACCTGTTCATTGACTCTTCTACAGAAGATGGCGAGCATGAAGACAGCTGCAATGGGAGGCCCAAGGTAGCTAGAAATCGATTCTGTGTAATGGATCAGTTGTCCACTTTGAGATACCTCTACTAGAGGGACCCACAGGATGCTGATCACAGTTAATAGAAAGACAAATATCCTGGCAAGAAAACAAACTGATGTGAGACCTTTCACTTGATCCTGCAATCATAGGCATCAATCCATTACTAGGCATCTTCCCAGAAGAAAAAAAAATCATTTTACCACAGGGACATTTGCACTAGAATATTTCTTGCAGCTCAATTCACAATTGCAAACATGCAGTAGCAACCCAAGTGCCCATCAACCCATGAATGGATTAACAAACTGTGGTATATGTGTACCGTGGAGTACTATTCAGCCTTGAGAAAAGATGGAGACTTTACATCTTTTGTGTTTACCTGGATAGAGTTGAAACACATTCTTCTTAGTAAAGTTCCACAAGAATGGGGAAAGATGTCCCAGTATACTCAATACTAGTATGAAAGCAGCATATAAATAACTATACATCCACATGGAAAAAAACACAAGTAAAGTCTAGTGAGGGGGAGGAAAGACAGGGGAAGGAGAAGGAGGGAGGGTGATTGGCGGGATCTCACTTAAGGTGCACAGTGTGAGGGTGTTCAGTACACCCCTAGGTGAAGGGCTCAACTACAACTTGAACTTTACCTTAGAAATAAAAACAATGTGACCTAAATATTTGTAGCTTTATATCAATCTGAAACCCCCCCCCCAAATCAAAAACCAAAACAGATTGCAGTGAGCTATGATGATGTCATTGCAGTCTAGCTTGGGCAACAGAGCAAGACCATCTCAATAAATAACTAAATAATTATAAGAAGAAATTATAAGAGAAAAAGTATCATTGCTGCTTCCATTGTGTTTTAGTTTTTAAAATTCATTCTTTTTTTAAAAAATTAAACTGTATACATTAATGCATTTATGATGTATAATGTGCTGATTATAGATACATTTTGGAATGCTTACATCAAATTGGTTAACATACCCTTCATCTCACTTAATTATTGTGTTAAGACATTTATACTCTACACTTAATATATTGATTTTGCCACTTCCTGGTTTCCAAAGAAAGTCAAGCTCCTTGACCTTGCAAGAACCCATGCTGTGCTGCTGATTATCTGCTGGTAAAATGCTGGTTAAGCAATTGCTTGTTTGTAATCAGTCATAATAGATCCATCTATGAGGTTAAATATCTAAAAGCAGTTCAGATGTCACCACTTGATTAATGATTCTCTAATGCAATGTATATAGTATGTCAATTGGAAATAACCCCCCACTGTTTCTATTAACCTGTATTTATTTGTATGATAAAATAGGCTGACATTTACTTTTGTCCATTTCCTAGCTTGCAGGGAGTTAAGTATGCAAAGGTTAGAATTAAAACAGCCTCTATCCTAGAATGCAGAGAATTGGCAAGAAATGCTAATTTATGCATTTTATTACATGAATACTCTGGCAGGTAGAAAGAACTGGTAAGTGGTAAAAGCCTGGTATAAGCTCCTGAGGTCTAGGGAGCACGATTCATTTGCCTTTCTAAGCCCCAGTGTTCTCTGAGTTTGTTGTGGAATATTCATTCACTAAGTGAACAAACACACCAGACTGTGCAAAAAAGTTATCATCTCTCCTTGCTCATGGGAAACAGAGAAGCAGTGGTGAGGTGGGGACAGAAATGAGCATTTGGGTAGGAGATTGAGGCATAAATATCTCACTTAAAGGCTATAAAATCTCTGCATTGCTGCAACAGCGAAATTTGGTAAACCATGGAAAGTCTAAAACATAATAAGGATACAGTAGATTATATCCACTAGTTTCTTCGTTATCATGCTTAGAAAGCAAATCTTGTCCCCGGTCACTCAGCTTCAGTTCTCTGTCACATGTAGGCCAAGATCCAGAGTTGTTCTCTGGCTTAAACAGCCCTGCATGAACTCTTCTCCACCCGCCCTCCTGACCTTGGTTCTTATCACTCTCTCACTTGTCTTCTTTGTCCTCAAACACACCACACACGTGACCAGGGAGGAACACAGCGCTGGTGGCTCCCTCCCCAGGGAGCCATGTGCTGACTCCACACTTCTGAGGGCTCTGCTCAAATGCCTCCTCCTGGGGTGGGGAGGGGCTCACTGAGCACCTGGGCTAGGGACCCACCATTGTGCTTTCCTCCTTTAATTTTCATACAGCATTTTTTTGCCACCAATGTGGCATACATTTATTAACTATCTATCTTCCCCACAAAGGCATAAGTTCCATGAAGCAGGAATTTTAAAAATGTAAGTTTTTAAAAAATCTTTTTTTCCTTATTGTTTGGGATTCACTCAGGGTACAAAGAATTAGGTTACACTGATTGCAGTTGTTAGGTTAAGTCCCTCTTGTAATTGTGTCCTGTCCCCAAGAGGTGTACCCATACAATGTGACCCCCATCCTTCTCCCTCCTCCCCTCCTCCACTTCCTCATTCCTCTACCCCCTACCTTGTATTAGATCATCTACTGTCTTCATATTAGAATTGTGTTTTGGGAGATAGTGTTAGGCTCAGGTTATAATAGAAAAATACCAGTTAACTCCTAGCAAATTTCCAGACTTCAAGCTTTCAAATGAAATGAAATAAGTCTAGTTCACTCCTAAGATAAATGAGAAAGTACTAATTGTTTTCTTGCTTCTAGTTCATTTGCACTTTCTTGATTGGCTAACTCCCTGGAAAACAGACCGGGAGGTACTAATTGTTCTTGGACTGACTTTTAAGCAATACCAGGTGGGGAAAAGTACTGAAACTAAGATGTATAGGGGGAAAATATTAAAACGAAGATGTATGACGTATGGGTAACTAACCACAAAATTCTGCTGTACAATGCTTGCTTGTTAACCCAAACAAATTTACCTGGACAGCCTGCATCCCAACCAGAATGCAGACCAAGCCTTAAAAACCCGACCCCTTAAGCACTCAGGGCTGCCTTCAAAAACCCCATGTTGGGACACTGAGGCAGTTGCCAGCTGGCTCTTCAATAAAAGAACTCTGCTATAAATTTGGCTTGATTAGCAGTGTGGTCTTTGTGGAACTCCAGGGCACAACAATAAGTAGACATTAGATAAGAGAGGAAGGAAGAGAAAAACATCATTAATTTATCATTCAGGAGGATATATGCTCATGTTCATATACCTATTAGTGGGACTACTATGCACTGGGTCCCCTAATTACCAGTCGGAACTTTCTCTGCCACAGATAACATGTGTACCTTACTGCTTCCCTCCTCTTACAGCATTTGTCCAGAGTCAAGATCAGGGCCAAGCCAGGTCTTTGGGTTCTTCTCCCAAGTGTTTTATTTGCTAAAGCTGTTACTACTCTCATTAGCAAAATGCAATCTTTTAAATAGGTGGTTAATTTTTCTTTTTCTTTTTTTGAGACAGAGTCTCTCTTTGTCACCCTGGGTAGAGTGCCATGGTGTCATAGCTCAGGGCAACCTCAAACTCTTGGGCTCAAGTGATCCTTTTGCCTCAGCCTCTTGAGTAGTTGGGAACTACAGGCATGCACCACCATGCCTGGCTAGTTTTTCTATTTTTAGTAGAGATGGGGTCTAGCTCTTGCTCAGGTTGGTCTTGAACTCCTGAGCTCAAGCAATTTACCCACCTCAGCATCCCAGAGTGCTAGGATTATAGGTGTGAGAAACTGCGCCCGACCTGTGGTTGGCTTTTCTTGACAACAATTTCATGGAAAAGCTGGCAGTGCCCCTCCAAGATTGGTTTTTGTGGGTGCTGTGTTTGTAGGCTGTACTGAGAGTGTCCCTACACTGGATCTGCTGGTGGAGAGGGAGAATTGAGGTTAAGGTGAGCATAGTAGGGCTTCAGTTCCCATTCCACCTAATGATGAGGCTCCAAAATAAACCTCAAGGGCTAAACCACAAGTATGTAATACATGTAACACATTTTTATTGTAGAAAATACACATTACAAAAAAAAATTGGAGAGTATAAAAGGAGAAATGATGTATCCATTATCTTACCACCCTAACCATGTTTGGAATTATCATCACCATCCATTTGGTCATTTTTGCAAGAATTGTGAGCGATTTCTTTTCTTTTAAAGGTCTCTTCCCATACTCCTTTCTAATCAGAATCCCATTATTAGGTCTATGAACATGAGCATATATCCTTCCGGACGATGACTTAATGACTTTTTTCTTTTCCTTCCTCTCTTATCGAATGTCTACTATCTCCCAAAACACAATTCTAATATGAAGATGGTAGATGATCTAATACAAGGTAGGGGGTAGGGGAATGAGGGTTGGAGAGAGAGGAGGAGTGAGGGGGATGGGGGGGTCACAGTGTATGGCACACCTTTTGGGAGCAGGTTCTGATTTTAAAAGACTGTAGGATATGCATACTTGTAGTGATCTACTTGACAGAAATCTGTGTGCACCAGGAGACACAGACAAAAGTGCTCAAGCCATGAACAGCAGAGTAGATAAATTCTAATATATTACCACATTGAAAAAAATGAATAAACTATAGCTACACATATCAACATGGCTGAATGTCACAAACATAACATGAGTAAAAGAAGCCATATACCAAGGAATACATATTGAGTTATTCTATATGGAATAGCCTGGAACTGGGGAAGACTACGCTATAGCATGTGGAGTCACATGGTTAGCGTTGGGGATATGGGGCTCAAGGTGGAAGGGGGAAGCTCTTAATTTCCATTCCTCAGCTTCACTGGTCGTTATGTGGGTGCTCATTTTGTGATGTGTCACTGATCCAGACATTTATATTCTGCAGGTTTTCTGTATGAGTGTGTGTTATTTTTAAATTTTAAAACATTTTGTGAAATGTTATGACATTATAGGGTCCATGTGAAAAGCATGAAGGGAAGAAAGGAGACTATTTATCTATTCTTCATGCTTATTTCCTTCAATCTTACTGTCTTCAAGGCTCCCTGGCTGCTCAGGGACCCCCGGGGGACTGAACTCTCTCAGCAGTGTCTTGAAATTAGCCCCTTTCTAATATGGTCCAATTCTTAATGAATGTGTTTGTGTTAGTGTTTGGATATCCTAATCTATTACCTCCATGTGATACACCTGGAAACTGCTGGACACAACAACGCATTAGAGGAGGTGGGAATTTTACATCCCATTAAAGCGCTGAAGGAGTTACACAAAGATGTGCATGGAGAACAGTATAAGGAGGGAAAGAAATAAGAGACAATTAGAGAACTTTGAAAGTCTGAAATAGCAATTATTTCATTTAAAGGTATGGCTCCAGTTTTTCCACCTGCAAAGACATATGTTGAATTAAACATCCTCTAATGATCCCTCCCTCACTCAAGGGCTCTATGTTTAGTTTCACCAAAGCTATAGACAAGGGAGCTCTAGTCCATGTCAACATTTGCATTTCTTTAGAGGAATTCTAGGAAGAAACCAGGGTTCCCTTACCTTCCAGCTATCAGGAGCTCTCTCTCTGATGCCTGCTTCCGCACCTTGGTGTAGATGTCTATGGTAAAGAGGGCGCTGGCGCTATTGAAGATGGAGGTCAGGGAGCTCATGAGAGAGGCCAGCATGACAGACAGCATCAGGCCTCGCAGTCCTGGGGGCAGGAGAGGGCACTGGTGAGTGACTGGACACCATGCTCCATTAGGGCCTTGCTCAACCAGAGAGTCACTCAAAGATAAAAGTATCATCTGGAACCTTGATTAAGTGGTGTATTTATCAATATACATCAGCATGTGGAGTTGCCTGGACATTTCTTGGTGATCTGAGAACAATCCAGTATAGAATTTTAGTCCTTCACATAAACTTAGAGGTTGAAACCATCTTTCTTTGGAGAGGAACTCTGGGCTTCCTGAAGACTTCAGAGGAAGGAGCCTAGCAGGTGTTTCTGCTAAAGCATCTTTGGTGGGAAAAGCCAAGAGTTTTGAACCATTATGAGAGCTTGACCTCCATTTCTCTCTGCCAGTTAGTAAAGGCCCTAAATCTTCTAGGACAGACTGTGGATGAGTTGTGTGTGGTGCCCTGCTTGTGGTTCATGCTCCCTCTGGACAAGCTCACAGAAGTATTAGCTGACATTTGATGGGCCTTGGGTACAAGATTACCCGGTCATTCCCAAACCCTGGTCTGTTTCTGTTTACCACGGCAATGAGCACCTTTTGGTTCCCTGATAATTTACTTATTTATTTCATATGTGTGGTTTATTGTCTATCCCACACACCAGGATGTGAGTTCTAAGGGCTAGGGGATTTTGTATCCACTTCACTGATGTTTTCTAAGCACCAAAGCAGTGCCTGGCACATAGTTAGCACTCAATAAATAGTCAGAAGTTAAATAGATTGAGATCTATTATTAGGTCTATCATGGACCACAGGAAGCAGGATAAATAGTTAACCTCTTGTTCTATGAGTTTATGTCTATGACTGTGTAACTCTTTTATTGACAAATAGATCATTTAAAATGTTCTTGATTGTCTTGGAAGACAGTCTTGAAATGGAAGGAGTATAGATTCTTCTAACAGAAACTATATCTGATGTGTCTATGTAATCTCCATGACTTGCATAGGGCCGGTGGCCTATGGAAGGTTCTCAAGAAATGCCTGATGAACAGAACTGATTTAATGGAAGTGAGAATTACTAAGGATTATACCATTACCCTTCCTCAAGCCCCACTCATAGACAGGCCTCGGAGGCTGTCTTAGCAGGGACATTTTCCTACCTGCAGGCATCAGTTCCAGCACCAGTGTTGGATAGGCATAGTTGGTACAGCCAACTTCAGTGCCACATTGCTTCACACATTCAGAAGGCACCACACAGGCCACCTTATCTGGGGAAAGATTCAGAGGTGAGGTCAGGGAGGCTCAAACAGGCACAACCCACAACTATTGGATAAAGGGAGAAGTTGTACAATCATGGGCAGGGGAAGGAAAAACATTTGCCTGGAAATCAGAGTCAACTTTGAACTCCATCCTACGGATCTGGTCGCTTTGTCCAGAACATGACCCATAAGTGTCTCACCTCTGTGGCTTGGCAAGGCTCCCTCCTTGGGATGTGGCCCAGTAAGAGCATCAGAGCAAACAGAGGGAGCTGATCCCACCCTCCAGAAAAATGACAAAATTCTTCCAAGAGCACCACACTCCGGAGATAAGCAACAACATGATGACAATAACAATAGGAAGTTAGGTCCTGTATCCAGTCACATTTAGCCTAGTGTTTTTACCTACATCTAAGCAGTAATGATGGTCAATTGGCATGACTGCCCATGTGTGATGATAACTTAATTCTCTGGCAGCTGCACAAGAATGGTTCTTTTCCCCTTACATTATGTCACGACAATAAAAGGGAAAATTGATAAAGAATCACCCAGAAAAATAACACCTTAGCATGTTAGCTTTTTATTCACTTTTTAATCCTTTTCCACAGAGAAATATTTTTTTTCTGCATAACTATTATAATTGTTGAACAATTATTATGTAGCCTTCTTTTTTTTTTTTTTTTTATAGTGACATAGTTGTTTCTGCATTTACCCAAGTGTGAGGTTGTTTTCGGTCTGTGTGTGCAATTTTCCACATAGGAAGTATAGAATGGTTTCATTGGCCATCCTGTGTTTGCTGGATATCTACACATTCTTTGCTGTTACAAACAACACTGTAAGGCTATAATAAGAAGTGACGTTGGGAGGCAGGGCATGGTGGCTCACACCTATAATCCTAGCACTCTGGGAGGCTGAGGTGGGTGGATTTCTTGAGCTCAGGAGTTTGAGGTCAGCCTGAGCAAGAGAGAGACTCCTGTCTCTAAAAATAGCTGGGCATTGTGGTAGGCTCCTGTAGTCCCAGCTACTTGGAAGGCTGGGACAAGAGAATCACTTGAAACTGTGATAACCAAGCTCCCTACCCTTAAAAAGAAACTTCCTTTGAATCCATTAGTTCCAGCTCCCTCAAGGGTGAGGAGAACTCTGAGAAGAGGCCTGAAGATAAGGGAGTGTGTAGGGAGGAGGAAGAACTTCGAGGAGAAACTTAAGATAAGAAACTATGTAGGAAGGAGAGGCTTGTCATACCTCCTGCCCCCCTTGTACTATGCAATTCCTCCCACCAAGGCTAACTGAAATGATTCAGCTTCTGCACCTCTGCCTGCTTGCTGTGATGCAAAAATAGGGTATAAAGACCCATTTGATCTGTCATTCAGGATCGCTTGCCTCCTAAGGCAATGACCCCCTGCAGGTGTAATAAATTTCTAATTACATCAAAGTGGGGTTCATGTCTCCTTCTCAGCTGTGTAAGTCATAAGAAACCCAAGAGTTTGAGGTTGTGAACAATGATGCCATGGCACTCTACCAAGGGTGACAAAGTGAGACTCTGTCTCAAAAAAAAAAAAAAAAAAGAAAAAAAGAAAAAAAGTGATGTCGGCTACTTGATTTTCATCTTAACAAGATTTTCAGTGAAATAAACTGATATCCAGTTGAGAAAACATGAAGTGCATTCAGTGTTACCTGATGGATTACCCCCAATAACAATGAGTCAACCAAGTAAGATTCAGTTATATTTCCTCTACTTTTCATAAGAAAGAAATTTCATTTTTAAGGAAAGAGTTCAACACCAGTAGTTACTCTCAGCTGAATCAGAAATTAATGTGTCCCAAACAACCTGATCCCAAAGCACTGAAAAATTGATTCAGTTCTCCAGCTGTCTCCGAAGGACCAAGACATGACAGGGCATCTCCAGATACCTTCTTAGTTAGGGATATGGCCCAACTGTGCCACTACCATTTACCCAACTCAAATTAGCCTGATTCTACCCATTCTCCAGTGGCCTTTTGTCATATTCTCTAGACATCTTAAATCTAAGCCACTCAGGAAAACAGGACTCACAGACTCAAATGGCTACAAAAAGACAGACATGTACTATAAAAAAGATAAGGGAGCAGAATGTCAAACATGCCAAATTTTCTTTTCTCTGACCCTCTGTGCAAGCTGTTCCCTTCTCTTTTATTTCTATCTAGAATAAATTTTCTAGTTTTTTAAGATTTTACAACATCTTGAAAATACATCTCAGAATTCAAGCATAAGAAAAACAGGATTCAGGGCTTACCTGTGTACAGAATGCGGCTGATCATCCCTGGCATCACCATGAGGAACATGGGCAGCAGCTTCAGGTACCCACACATGATGCAGGCAGCCTTCACATGGGACATGTCCTTGCCGCACAGGCAGCGCTGCACGATAACCTACCAGGAAAATGTGGCGTAGGTGTCACACCACCAGGGGATGGTTTTGAAAAGCACCTCTATTCAGGGTTTAATGTTACCTTCTTATTATTTCTTATAAATAATGTTGATTCATATATAGAAGAGATATCTGCACTTCCATGTTTCCTGCTGCCCTACATAATAGCCAAAGTGCAAAATCAACCTGAGTGTTCTTCCAGGAATGAATTGATAAAGAAAATATAGTATGTGTACTATATCATTCAGCCATAAAAATAATAAGATCCTGTTGTTTGCAGCAATATGAATGACCCTGGAGGTCACTATGCTAAGTGAATTAAGCCAGGCACAGAAAGACAAATATTACATGTTCTCATTCATATGTTGGAGCTAAAAAAGTGGATCTCATGGAGGTAGAGTGTAGAATGGTGGTTACTAGCGTCTTGGTAAGGAAGAGGAGGCAGGGGTTGAAGATAAGTTGGTTAACAGGTGCAAAAATACAGTTAGATAGAAGGGATACATTCTAGTATTCAAGAGTACAGTAGGGAAATTACCATTAACAATAATTTGTTGTATGTGGATATTTCAAAATAAACAGAAGAGAAGAATTCTGATGTTCTCAGTATAAAGATAAATACTTGAGGGTGGCGCCTGTGGCTCAGTGAGTATGGTGCTGGCCCCATATACCAACAGTGGCAGGTTCAAACCTGTCCCTGGCCAAACTGCAACAAAAAAATAGCTGGGCGTTGTGACGGGCACCTGTAGTCCCAGCTACTCAGGAGGCTGAGGCAAGAGAATTGCCTAAGGCCAGGAACTGGAAGTTGCTGTGAGCTGTGATGCCACAGCACTCTACTGAGGGAGACAAAGTGAGACTCTGTCTTTAAAAAAAAAAAAGATAAATGCTTGAAATGATGGATATCCCAATTACCCTGATTTGATCATTACACATTATATACATATATCAAAATATTGCATTACCCCCAAATATGTATAACTATGATATATATATGTGTGTGTATATATATATAGGTGTGTATATGTATATAAGATATATGAATTATGTCATGGTAAGTGGGAAATAATAGGCTTCGGATTGTGATCAGGATTTGAATTTCTTTTGCACATTATTTGACCTCTGGGAATCTCAGGTTTCTTATATCTAAAATAGGGTTTTCTGCTGCAAGGCTTTCTAAATATTTGGTATAACACATGTAAGACCTTTGCTACATAGCAGTCAATATACATTAGCTCCTATTAAAATATGTTCACAGCTCTCAGGCTGCAATACAGTAATAGTAGTGTGCCCTGCCATGTACAAAATTGGCACTATGGATGCCACCACAAGTTGTGTGTTTAAGTTATGTCTTTAATACTGTAGACATCATCAATATCTCCTTGTAGTTCTGGGGCAGTTGACTCCTTGAGAAGTCAAGCCAATTGCCATGGAAAGATCCTGGTCAGGCAGCAATCACAATAGATCACTAGATTTCACTCATTTCTAGATTTCTTCAGAACATTTTGAGACCTTCATCTCATTTTAAATTAAATATCATAGTCTTGGGGAAAAGAATTTCATAATTCCCACAGAAATTAAGCAATCTCTTAACTAGGAATTTTGTAGCAATGTAGGATTTTTACCCATAATGCAATAACTTCCTAATATTTTTCTTTTCAAGGAATGTCAGACAATTGAGATGCTTCTTTCTGTTTAACTATCCTTGGAGAAGCAATCATTAGGGATGGCAATGGCATCATTTGGGGCTAGGGGAGCAGTTGGCATTTTTAGACTAAGGGCTGGAAGCAGGCAGGTGGAGGTACAGCACAAGTCACAGATGAAGAAGGGAGCCCTGTTGCCAGGCAAGCAAGGCCAGGCATCAGATCTAAGGGTGAACAGGGGATCTCTTACAGAAGGCAAGTCACATGGTCAGGGATGAACTATAAATAATAAAGATGGTTCCACCAATAAATGGCAAATGGATGAATTCTTTGGAAGATGTTTTGGGGAAATCCAATCTATTAAATAGAGAAAAATGAACCTATGACCATTGATTCAAGACAAGCAAATTATACATTTGAAGTTGACAAAGACTCTTCAGAGAGAAAAACAAAACTTTGAAAGATAAAATGAAAAGGAACCTAGATGCTATAAAAAAGAATATTAAAAAAAAAAACTTCAAATATATTTGAAGTCATTAAAACCAAAAGTATACAAGCTAGAGGATCTTTAAAGTTGAAGAAGTCTCTTAGACAGTGGAGCAAAAAAGACCAAGAGATGGAAGATGAGGAGAAAATGTATGACTGTCAGAGGACAGCTAAGGAAGACCAGCACCAGATAGACAGTTCCAACAGGAAAACAAAATGGAAGAAATCAAGGAAAGAGTCCTCCCAAATTATCCAAGGCTTTGGTTACCACATTAAACAGGCTCATAGTTGCTCATTGCAAGGGACAAAAATAGGTTCACATGATATACATAGTGGTGAAATTTCAGAATTCTGAAACAAAGGAAAGAGAATCTTCCAGAGAAAAAAGGCAGTTGTACCAAGAGGATCAAGAATAATTTCAATCTTTTCAACAGTAATGGTGGAATTCAGGAGATGATGAATTTATGACTTTGGGAAATTCTTTCCAACCTAGAAATGTGTACATGACCAAACTATCAATTAAGTAAAAGTCAGAGTGAAGACATTTTCACTATGAGGGCTATCTGAGGAAGCTACTAAGGTTTTGAGTGTCTTGAAAGAAAGAATAAACTAAGAAAATAAAAAACAATATGGGATACTGGAAAAAGGAGATAAAACCCAAGAGTGAGGGAAAAAGAGTCCCAAAGAAGGGGTCCTTAGGTAAGATTGGGCACCAGATATTGAGGGAATCCCACCAAACTGTGGGAGGACAAAGACTCTGAGAGAAAATGAACAGAGGAGTTGGCAGAATATTTGATGTATTTGCAAGTATTGAGAGAAGATTTTGGAAATTTGCAGAGGATTGGGTGCTTAATGAGTGATAACTACCAAGAAAATTGAAAACAAAAAATTGAGAATTACAAATTCTATGGAAAATAAAAAAGCTGCAGAAAAATCAGCCAGAAGATGTCACATGACTCAGCTCCGAATTATAGTCATGCAGTCACAAAAATGGCAGCATTGAATACTGAACCTCTGAAATTGTGGTTTAGATCTATCGGGAAGATGGGGGGATAGGAGATGTGCTCATGTGGGACTGAGAATGGAAGATTGAAAGAGAGCTGGACTCTCCCTTCTCACCATTGAAGCTAACAGAGAAATCCCCAAACTAGAAAACCAGGAGGAAGCAACACAAGCATTTATTTGAAGCACTCAGGGATCAAGTTAATGAGCAAATTCAGATTCAACAGGTATGGAGAGGGTCATAGGGTCTCTACTGGTTTCCAAAATGATGTCCTTGTTGATGGGTCACAGAACACACACTGAGTACAGGATTGAGAGAATAAAAATAAATACCAAAGTGTTTGCATCTGAGGGACAAGAAATAGGATTGAGAATGAAGCACCAGGCAGCTGTTTTTATCACAAGCCTTACAGAAGTGTTTGACTCGTTAACTGATGTGGGTGTACAAAACAGAAACTAAATTCTTTTCTATGAGACAAGAAAGAACAACATAAGTGTGTGTGCATGTGTGTGCACACACTGCTCACCTGATCCGTGCACCAGTACCACAAGGATGTAATGAATATTCCAAGTATCATTCCCGGCCATGGAATGTCCCCAGTGATGGGATCTCGGAATAAGTGGAAGGAGTCCGCCTGAGGAGTGTAGCATCTGGCATTGATTGTCAGGTTGTCCCCCTCAACTATGGATGGGATGGCATTCATGTACTTCTCTGCAAAACTCTCGTAACCTCCAATTTCGGCAAATGCTGAAAAGGCATCAGATAAAATGAAATGTCTTACTGAAATCCAAGACACCTGATGTTTATGATCACTGCTATGTGGTGGAGATGCACAAGCACTTACCATCAGCCTGGTCAAATCTGCACGGACCTTCTCCCAGGATTCATTTCTTTCTAGTATCTTCCCTGGCATCGGACATGGTACCAGATTGACTTCCACAAAGTTCATAACAGAGATAATTCTAACACATCTCTTTATAGTGCTCTTTAAAGTTCTGAGTTAATGTCTCACTTTAAGGTAAAAATGAAACTGTAACCCAACAGATTGATGTTGTTTTCTCATAATCATCCAGAGCAGAAACAAATCTGAAGATGAGCTAGCAAAGTGAGCCCAGTGGAACTGGGTGCCAGTCACCAGAAAACTCCAACTCCTCTGAAAGGAACAGGAAGAAATGGCCTCTCTTGACTCAGAGCCTGGGTATTCTGATCTTAGTCTGCTAGTCTGGTTTCCTCATGAGACAAAAAATTGGAAAGATACTGGAACTAAATGATCAACATGCATATGAATATGTGGTAGTAAAATTCAATGGAAATTAAGCAGGTGGAAGGGGCAGAAGGGGATGAGTAAATTCACACCAAATAAATACAATGCACACTATCTGAGGGTTTGACATAATTATCACCTTGACTCAAACTGTACAAAAGTAATGCCTGTAACAAAAACATCTGTACTCCTGTAACCTCTGAAATAAAAGAAAAAATTAAAAAAAGAAGAAGAAATTGGAGGCAACAGGTTGGATGTGATGAGGAAAAATAGTGAGACTCAACCCATTATGGGTCTGGAAAGGCTAGTCAGGTGTGGAAAAAATTATAGTTGATCTTAGAAAGATGAGCCTAAGCATCTGTGGTCACTTAGTATAGGTTTAAATGATGCAAAATTCATCTGAGTATCTTATAGTTGTAAAGCTGAGTGTACATTGATTTACTTCTTCATAATTTCATTGAGGACCTACCATATGCCAATTACTGTGCTGGGGCCTGTGCAAAATGAATGAGCAAGGCAGGAGGAACTTAGCCTAGAGGTGGATACAGACAACACAAGGAAACTTCTGATTACATAAGTATGTTTTGTAATAAAAATACATAGAAGACCCTAAGAGATAAATCACCCCTCCTCATCCTAATAGTGGGAGAAGTGAGTCTTAGAGATACTGATGCTGGGGAATGCATCACTTAGGCCAGAAACTAATAAACCATAAACGAGAATAGTGTGGGAGTTCTGGATAACTAAACAGAAAGTAGATGGCTGACTAGATACATGCAGTATGTGCCTCCTCTACAAAGAGGAACCAGAATAATAAGTAGATACTCACATTTCGAACAGATTGTTTAGGAGAGAAGGCTAGGATTCATGAGAGAAATGGGAAGCACCAAAAGTAAGTAAGGAGAGGGTTTAGGAAAGCTTGCCTGGTTGGGGAGTAGCTGAGGGCTCCTAGTAGGAGAAGCTCCTAGATGTGGGAAAGCCATATGAAAGAAATCTCTGAGGCTTCACACTATGAAAAGGGCTCTTATGATCTTGACTTGGCTATGGAAAAATCTTTTGACTCACATGGCCATTGGGACTAACACAGGGAGCTGTCTAGAGATTGTACACGGAAGGGGCCCTATCTCCTTTGGTCCTGGAGTTAAGGCACCATTTTGAGAGTTTAATGCTGGGTCACACCCTGCCCTTTGGCTGAGCTTGGATTGAAATAGCTGCAGCTATCACCTGGCAGGGGAGGGATAGGGAAACCAGGCTCTGCAACAGGCCCCTGTGGTACTGGAGAATAGCCCGTCTACCCATTGCAGCTATCAGAAACACCAACAGGCACACTTTGGGTCTCAGTGGTTTGTTTCACCACTGCTGCTGGAATTACCCACATCACATCAGCTACCCAGGGGACTGAAAACATGCCCATAGACCAGGGCCACTTCTCCCACTATTATTATAGCTTCTGAGTACGCTGCTTGGAGGCTCAAGGATTGGTCTTCCAAGACCCAATAACACTGGTGCCACTGTAAACTGCAGTGGGCCTACAAACAGACATGCTCAGCCCACTGTTGCCACCACCAGGGCCTGAAGACTGACTCAAGTGGCACTTGAGTTCCCAGCAAAATTTCACCACAGCCTCAACTAACAACTGTATTTGAAGCCACTAAGGAAGTCTCAGATGCCACTGATGCTGTATATTGCTGAAGAAACCATATAAATTTCACACTACTGAGGGCCCCCAAAATCAAAGTCCAAGTTTTTTAAGTTATATATTTATAGATCCAGTAATAGATCACAAGAAGTCCTTGAAATGCCAATGTATCCAAAATATCAATTTTAAAGAAACTCAATGACAATGAGATGCAAGAGAAACTTGAAAACCAACATAAAGAAGTCAGAACATTAATTTAGGATATAAATGAGAAATTTACCAAGCAGACAGATATCTTAAAAAAAAAATCCTGAAACTCATAAGAGAAATTTAAAATACACTTAAAAGCTTCAATAATAGACTAAGACAAACAGAAAGAATCTCAGAATGTAAAGACAGTTCTTATGAAATAATCTAGACAGTCAAAAATATGGAAAAAAGAACAAAAAAGGATGAACAAAGTCTTTGAGGTATCTGGGACTACATAAAGCAACCTAACTTGTGAGTTATCAGTATTCGTGAAGGGGAAGAGAAGGTTTAGAGAACCTATTTAAGAAAGTAATTGGCGAAAACTCCCCAAGTATAGCAATATAGTTAGATAACCAGATACAAGAGGCCCAGTGATGCTCAGGAAAATCCTTTTTTTTTCTTTGCAAAAAGGGCTTAACCAGGGGGTATTTTAGTCAGAATGTCTAAAGTCAAAGTGAAATAAGTAATTTTAAAATTAGCAAGAAAAGTGTCTAGTCACCTATAAATGAACTCCCATTGGACTAACAGTGTAGTTTTCATTAGAAATCTTATAGGCCAGAAGAGAATGGGATGGCATTTTTCAAAGTGCTGAAAGGAAAAAGAGCTTGTCAGCCAGGATAGGTTTTTTTATATCTTGCCAGAATAAATTTCATAAAGAAGAAATAGTTGGCTCAGTGCCTGTGGCTCAAGTGGCTAAGGCGCCAGCCACATACACCTAAGGTGGGGGGTTCAAATCCAGCCTGGGCCTGCCAAACAACAATGATGGCTGCAACCAAAAAATAGCTGGTGTTGTGGTGGGCACCTGTGGTCCCAGCTACTTGGGAGGCTGAGGCAGGAGACTCACTTGTGCGCAGGAGGTGGAGGTTGCCGTGAGCTAAGATGCCACAGCACTCTACCCAGGGGGACAGCTTGAGGCTCTGTCTCAAAAAAAAAAAGAAGAAATAGTCGTTCTCAGACAAGCAAACACTGGGGAAATTTGTTACCACTAGACCAGCTCTAAAGGAAATGTTCAAAGGGATTGTCCATGGAGACATGGATACAATATTCACTCATCATGAAAACACATGAAAGTATAACTTTTAAGTCTTATGTAATATTTGTACAAAGGAGGAAGAGGAAGGAATCAAATGGCAACATCACAGAATTTCATCACATCATGAAAAAAAAAACCAAAGAACTTATAAAACAACCTGAAAACAACTAACAACATGACAGAATAAAAAACTTCACATATTAAATACTAACCTGGAACATAAATGGGTTAAACCCTTCACCCAAAAGACATAGACTGTCAAAATGAACAAAAAAATTATGACCCAACTGTATGCTATTTTTAAGAAATTGATGAGAGTTTTTCAGACTGTATATGGAAGCAACACATTGTATCCTATGATAGAATTAATGTACACAATTATGATCTAATAAAAAAATTAAAAAAAAAGGCACAAAGACTGAAAGTAAAGGAGAGAAAATAGATATTCTATGCAAATGGAAACCAAAAGTGAGGAGAAGTAGTTGTACTTCTATCAACTAAAATAGATCTCTCTCCCACCCCCACCAGTGGTAACATAGGATTTTATTAGATAGAAAGGAATACAGAAGGAGTAAAAAGCACCTGAGCTTCTGGCAAAGGGGAAGACCCAAGTTGGAAGTCTCCCCGCTGGGTCCTATGCCTAGGCGTATATATTGTCTGGAGAATTATATTTTGGCTAGGACTTGGTATGTGGAAAAATACCTTTTCAAAGTTAATGAGTATATTAACAAATGAATGAATGCAGTCCCTCTTCTAGGGCAAGGTTATCAGGTCTTTGCAGTTTTTGTCTCAAGGAAGGGATTAGGGTATGTGCTCTCTACTCAAGGTGGAACCACTCAAAACATTTCAGGCTGCTTTGTTCATGACCCTGCTGGAACCCAGAGGGTGTGGCTTGGAAAGGGCAGCTTGTTTGTGCCTAGAGATGGGGGTCTGATTTTTGAGCAAACCTGGGCCCAGAGAATGGGTGGGTGGATCCTGTATCAAAAAGACCCCATCTTTACCAAAAATAGAAACATTACCTAGGCATGGTGATGTTTACCTGAAGTCTCAGCTTCTTGGGAGGATGAGCCAGGAGAATTTTTTGAGCCTAGGAATTTGAGGTTGCAATGAGGCTAGGACCAGATCTCTGCACTCTAATCTGGGGTGACAAGAGTGAGACCCTGTCTTACAAAAAGAAAAAAACAAAAATAAAAACAAACACAAACAAACAGAAAAACCCCAAAAACTTATTTCTTAAAAAAATGTTAATGTAATGATTATGTGAGCGAGAAGCAACTTTTAATCTTTTTGCTATTGGAGGCTATTGCCTTGATGTTGGGATTGCTGGGGCAATTTCCAACAATAAAATTTGTTACATCAATTAATTCTTCCCTTCATGAAGAATTTCCCTGTAGCTTGTGATGTTGTTGATAACATTTTATAGTAGAATGTCCTCCAAAACTGAGGGCAATCCTCTCAAATCTTGCCACTGCTTTATCAGTTAAATTTATCAAATATTCTAAATCCTTCATTGTAATTTCAACAATGTTCACAGCATCCTTACCAGGAATACATTCCATCTC